GTCTAACCCTGCCCTTATTTATTGTTCCATTCCTTCACTGCCATTTCCCTTATTTTATTTTGTTAGCATTTTGGTCTAAGGAAAATTCCTAAAGCGACATCTCTGTGTCTTCCATTAGTGTATCGCAGAGGAAAGTTTGAGTAACTGTCGTCAGCTCTTTAAAATGCATGTTATGTTGTGCGGTGTTAGTTTTAGAGTCAGTTTTTCCTTTATAGTGAAGGGTGAATTTGTGATCTCATTGTGTGACATTTAGCAATACCGTGAAATGTCACGCTATACATAATAACATAATACGACTGAGCTAAATGTTGATTTATGTTATTTTTTACATAAGTCTTTAAACGTTCTGAGACATTGAGTCCCTCGAGTCTTCTCTTCCGTTTGACTTTTAAAAACATACGCCGCAAATATGACATTTCAATTATTTTACACACACACACACACACACACACACTTATACTGTATACTCTCTCTGTGTGTGTATAGTGTACATACCCTTTTATTTTCTCTTTTTGCCAGGTACTTGTTATTTGTCAAGTACCTCAAAATTTGCTACCATGTACAGTTCATGTATTCTCTTTCTAGTGTCAGTATCCATGTTATTACCAAAATGTTTCATGCGTTTTCATCACTGATAATAATAAATGTTTTTGAGCACCAAATCAGCATATAAGAATTTTTTCGGCTTTGTTTTCAGCACTGTAAAAGTTCACGTATTCTGTTTCATGTGTCAGTTTGCAGCACTCAACAGTGTGTAAATACCTGAACGAATCTCCAGTCACACTGTTCGCACGTCTTTTCACACTGCTGCAGTCCAGCCAGTGAAAGCATAGACAGCCAGGTCTTAACATTAAATAAACATTCATTACACCATTGAAATAGGAGCTGCACATCTGCTGCAGAGTTCTCATAATGTTGTGGCTTTCCTGTCCACTTCAGCCACCGTTGGGGAAACTGGAGCTTATTTCAAACATGCGGTCCGGGTCGTAGCATCAAAAAAACAAGGCCACAGCTTGAACAAATACGCCAGAGTTTCTTTAACCTGAGCACAGGGTGGACAAACATAGCTGTTAAAGTGTAGCAGTCCTTCCCCCAGGTCCAGAAGAACACAAGCCCTCATTCAGAAACTGCCCACTGCACCGCAAGCCAACATCACAGACCTGTAATAGACGTAGGGTTAAAAGGAGGCCATTGAAAGAGACCTGTAGGTCACTGCTATATTTATAAACATTACTTTGCAGATTTTTTAGTGGCCTGACCACATATCCTGTAATTTAACCCTCTTTCACACACCCAGCACCACCCTTATGTAAACACTGTCACAGAGAATAGTGCTCCACTTTCCACCGAAGCGTCAGGTGACAGGTACAGTCTTGAGAACAAACGTATAGTGCTTTCACAAAAGGGCTCTTAAAAAATCATTCTAAACATCTCTTATCATCTCTCATACTAATTCATGGAGCAGAGACCTCCTGTTACATTTTGAAAACATGCTTGGTTTAAGCCATTGCAAAGTCATTAAAATAGCCATTTTTGATGTACAGACTATCAAGAGATGAGTTTTTTTTTTTAAAGAAATTAATACTTTTATTCAACAGTGAAGTATTAAATTGATCAAAAGAAACTGTAAAAAAACATTTACTGTTACAGAAGATTTCCATTTTAAATAAATGCTGTTCGTTTGGACTTTCTATTCATCAAAGAATCTTGAAAAAAATGCATCATGGTTTCTACAATAATATTAACTGTTTTTAACAATGATAATAAAGTACATTTTTAAAATACAGTTATTTTAAGTTGTAATATTTCACAATATTACTGTTTTTACTTTATTTTTGATCCAATAAATGAAGCCTTGGTGAGCAAAAAGAGACTTAAAAAAAAATAATATATTAAAAATTTTAACAGACCCCAAAGAGTACTATATGTACATTACATTTTAGCTTTTAACTTTAGCTTAAATTAATATACTTTACATATAAAATATACGAGTAAAACGTTTGTTTAATGCATATTTTAATTTCTTGACAAAAATTAGTTTGAGACAATAACCACCTTACTATCTTACTACTGCTGTACCACCTCTGACCCCATAGGGGTCACAGACTCCTGTCTTGTCCAAACATGTGGACATGTGCCTTTTTATTGGAGATATATGCAAAGCTTGGCTCGCTTCTCCGCTCCTCCACCACCTTTCTCCACTCCTGCCAACATCTGCAGCTCCTCGGCCAACACCAACATCCACCTTTTCCTTTTACTCGCTTTCTACACCCCCTTTACACACTCTCTTTCTCTGTTTTTCTTAATCAGTCTCTTTTAAGAGGATTTATGGTTCGACAACATCTAACTCCAGAACCTGATGAAGGGAAATGCATGCCTCTAAAAACATCACTGTCAAGATCAAAACTCGCCAGCAGAAACTTTCCCAGCAGAATTATAGCTCATTCCAAATTACGATTTTAGAAAGTTATAAAAGTTTACTCACAAGCTGTTCCCATGTCCCCATTGACTTGGAAAAGAGCAGCCTAGATATTCTTCATAAATTCTCTTTTTGTTTACCACAAAAGAATAAAAAGTTCTATAGGCTTGGAATGACATTAGAGCGAGCAAATGACCAAATTTATGTTTTTAGGTGAACTACTCTATGTAATGCCTTCTAACGGAAACTTTGTGCTACTTTGCCCAGAGTGATGATGACTCATGTTACATGCCATTTTATTTTATTTTACAGATGCTAATGCATGTAAACTTTGATTGCCCTCAGTCACATCAGCAGTTGAGTCATTTTCGTTTTATGAACACACATTAATCAGAGCTCAGGCCTTGTTTATGATAGCTGGCAGCACACGGGGGTCTGCATCCTGTCAAGCAAGGTTCAGCACAGACCTTTCTCTGAAGGTTGTCTGTCTGGAGCTGGAAAGATCCTTGTCATGATGCTGGAGAGATATGAGAGCTATAGGTGAAGAGGCTTCATATCATTACTGCTATCTGGCAGACAGCGTCTCCTCTCTTAGCTGGGAGTAGTCGAGGCCTTGGGCTGCCAGAACAGTCTGACATATGTCAACTGTGCTTCCTGACTGCAGAGTCAGCAGCTCTCTCTCAACGGAGCTCAATTCTGGGGAAACAGACTGAATGGCTCATCTGTGAGGATGCCAAAAATACAGTCAAACCAAAACTGTCCAGTATCACTATATAAACTATCATCTCGGTCTCGGTAAATTGAGGAAAAAGTGTGATGCAGAAAGTTTTTTGGCATTGTTTGTTTTATCATTTTATTTGCATTATTTATTACCTGTTGTTTAGAAGGCCTACTAGACAAGCTACTTTGAAACTAGCTAGCTATGCTAATCAAGCAGCTAATCATGATTTCAGTTAAAATACAATTCAATTAAAAGATAGCTGTTTCACAGCCTGTGACCATATACTTTCTGTGTTAACACTGTCTGATATCCATGAAAACATTTGTAAAACCTTTATTAAAAACGATTAAAGTTTATACCACAGGCTCAGACAGGCTCTGGTGAGTGTCTTAGTAATCACTTAATTTAATCAGACCATATTTTTCACAGTTATCTCAATTAGGATGGCACATAATATATATAACAACACATTTGTTGTGCTACACCGTTAATTGTTTGTAGTTAAAGGGTTGGTTCACCCAAAATTGAAAATTAGCCCATAAATTACTTACCCTCAAGTCATCCTAGGTGTATATGACTTTCTTCTTTCAGACGAATCCAGTCGGAGTTATATTAAAAATGGTCTTTGATCTTTCAAGCTGTTTAATGCCACTCAGCGGGTGTTGCATGCATCCTTTCAAAAGCAGTTAAATAAAATGTGCACATCCATAAAAAAAAGTGTCTCACACGGCTCCGGGGAGTGAACAAAGGCCTTCTGTAGCGAATCGATGCGTTTTTGTAAGATGACTTGAGGGTGAGTAATTTATGGGCTAATTGTAATTTTTGGGTGAACTAACCCTTTAATGGCTTGTTACTGGAAGAAACACATTTTAAACGGTGTTATTTTAGTATTATTTATATACTTTTATATATACTTTTACGGCTTTTATTATTTCATTTAAATTTGAATGTAATTTAAGTACATCAAATTTATGTGCTTTTGTTATTTTTAGTTATTTGTTTTTTTTGTATTTAGAAACAGATATAAATATTTATATTTTCATATGAATAAATATTTGTATCTAAATATTTTATATAATTTATTATTACTTTTTTTTCCTTTATAGCATTAATTATTCTTTAATCTATTATTTATCATTTATTTAATCCCAGCTTTATTTTAGTTACGGATTTTTTGTAGTTTTAGTTTTAGTTAACAATAACCACTCTTTTGAAAACAGAACTCCTACTGTCATGCTACTGCAAAATGTAGTTAAATTCTATTGAACTGTCTACTTATGGTGAGACTAGGCTAGTCTCCAATATTGATATTCCTATTGCTTTCCATGCATTTTATAGGCAGCATTTTCAGCACACTAGTCAGCACAACCAAAGGAGGGATGTGGAGAAATACAGTTCAGTCAGTCATGTCAGTCTCCTGTGCCAGATATTTGAAGCGCTCAGAGGGAAATGTGATAGGATTGGCAGCGAATTCCAAAACCCATAACCTGTCAGAGAAAGGAAGTCGCTGAAGGGTCACAGCAGCTTTATACAGTCCACATCTGCCTCGGCTGGGCACCAAAACAAAGTCAACATTTAATTTGAAATGAAGGAAACTTTGTTTGGATATGAAATAATGGAAGAAGCAAGGCATGGAAAACTATGAAGTTATTTTTTTATTGGGACTGAATGTTGCCTGTGGGTTGTACACAGAGAGAAAGAGAAATCTAATGTGTGCCCATTAGGTAAAAGGATGATGCAATGACTAATTAGATAATTGAGTTATTTGATTGCAATCAGCAGGAAACTATTTGGATGGCTTGATGGATGATCATGGTGTGTATCACTCCATAAAGAATATGGATGTTTCAAGGTAACTAAACTGGTTATCTGCACCATTCCGATCCCATTTTATCACGGTCAAATATTAAAGGATGTCTCCATCCTTTTTAAGTGTTTGGATGCTTACCTCCAATTAACAAACCAAGGACAAACCTTGGTAATTTAAGTGCTATCAGACAAATCAGAAATATGAGTATCCCATTGGGAAATTGCATGAAGTCAAGGTTTATTGTACAACACCAGTTTCTGATTTTTAATGACAAGGTAAGTTTTATGACTGTGGACTGTAATAAAATATGAACCTTGAATATACATTGTTCAGTGTTTGGGAGTAACTAGTTATGTGTAATAGCATTATGTAATGTAATTACAAAATAAATGTAACCAATCTGTTACATTTACGGAGATGTACATTTATAATTATAGTTACAGAGAATTGGACTATTGGCCTTTTTGATAAATGTTTTATTTCCTATTTGGGTTTAATGTATATGCTTTATTTTTTACTACTGTTTTTACTGTTTTTTTCCCCAAGCCATTATAGATGCCAGTGTTTCCTTTCATAGCTATGCAAAGATTTGATTTCAAAAACAGTATCATAGTTATTAAACGATTTCTTGTCATTTCAAATCTGTATTTAACCTCTGAATGTTGTCAAAACCAAAAGATTTTGTGGTGGCTGTGCTTTTAAATTGTTTGAAAACATTCATTAGACATTTTGAAATCAAATCTTTGCATAGCTATGAAAGGAAACACTGGCATCTATAATGGCTTGGGGAAAAAAACAGTAAAAACAGTAGTAAAAAATAAAGCATATACATAAGAAAGAAAAGGGGGGGGGGGGGGGGCATAAAAAATATTTTTTATGGTTTTGTAAAAAATACTTTTTACAAAAAGTAATTAAATGTAGTGTTACATTAATAAAGTAATTGAAATGGTTACACTACTTGTAGCTACATTTTAAATAGGGTAACTTGTAATCTGTATTGCATTTCCAAAGTAACCTTCCCAACATTGACATTGTCTACATCCGTTAGTTTGTATGTAATGAGACCAAGCCAAAAGCAAAAAAATAAAAAATTCTGACTGGCAACAAAAACCTCAATAAGGTTTAAACCTCAACTATTGTAAACAATAAAAAGGAAGCATTGGTACACCACGGCTCTAAAAATGAAAAAAATGTTATTTCATGTTCTCACCAGGTGACGTTTTGAGCCGTATGGCTCTTTATCAGACATGATGACCGTCTATTGAAGAGTCACCTGTCACCTGTGGTGAGAATATGAAATAAACATTTTTGCATTTTAGGAGCTGTGGTGTGCCAATACAGCAATTTTGATTGACACGTCAACAAAATCCCACCATGGGCTCTTATTCTTGCAGTTTATTTGGACAGTGCTGTGATTTTTCTGGGATCCTCAGTTGACTCAGCCTTTTAACCAGTCAACCGCATGTGAATAAGATGACGCTAATGGTCTACATAGGACATTTCGTCTTGGGAACATCCGAAGTAGACGTGAAGGCAAGGTAAGTGCCCAAAGCGATGGTCTGTTGGGAGTGAGGATGACTCAAAAGTGTCTTGCAGTGATTTTTGACAGAACTGGAAAAATGCCTTGGTGGCAGTTTTCAAAGGTTACGGTTTTTGAAAGGGGATCATTTCTTTAAAGCGATCAAATTTACACAACCGAAGTAGCACTGGGAGAAAAAAAAACGTAATGAGTTCAGCAAAACAATCAAGTCACAGATTAATATCTGGGGTGAGGTCTGAGGGAAACTTCACCTTTTAATAACGGAAACTATCAACTCATGATATTATCAAACAGCACGACTTGGAGGCTATTGACTTTGCTATTATTGTGTTTTCTAAAGTTCTAGCAAGGTGACTCAGGGGGCTCAAACTCCATCCCTCCCAATGACCCCACGTTCCCACTGGACGAGTACAGTTGATAAAGGACGTAAAGATCAGCTCCCCCTTGGCCTTTATAGATTAACGAGTATGAGCTGTCAGCACCTCTCATCTCCATTCCCAATGATTTACGTCAAGTTTAATGAGCCTGCCAGGGCCAGATAACACACTCACAATGACTTCTGGGTCTGCTATATGCATAATGCACACTGTCCATTCTAGCAGCTTAAAAACTGCTTAAAGAGAGTTAGGTTGCTATTATAATAAAATGATAACTTTATATTTTGTAGGACACTACATTTTTAAATGAGAGCATCTGTTAAATGTACTACATATACATTTTGAGGCTTTGCAATATGCAGAGAACCTGAAAATCCAGTGAAGCCCTTTGTTTACATAGTATTTCAAGTAGCTTCTGAACAAATCCAGAGATCATATCAGATCACAGAGTGAAGATCATCCATGCAGCTGGACGAATGCCTTGAATATTTTTGTTTATCATTAATTACAGCTGTGTTTAATGTGACATGTCTTAGCACAAAGTGTATCACAGTTGACTGATAAAGACTTGGCTCAGAGGACTTAGCCAAAGCTTAGCCCTTGATTCAGAGTCATGAGCAGGTCGGAACAGTCTGGACATGCATGAAGGCCAAATGATCTGGTCCAGGAATAATATCAGACTTCCTCTACCAAAACAAATGCAGGTTTTCACAGCCCACTGATTCTTGAGATGAGGCAAAACGGTTCACCTGCCATTTCTTTTAAAAATAGGAATATTTACTTTGAAATTAATCTGAGATTATTCTTAACACAAAGCACCATTTTATTTAGTACTTGATATTATGATGTTATCCTTCTCTTTAAAACCACCTGTCCTCAGAGCTTAATTCAATGCTTCACATATAGATTGAAATCACATATAGTTTTTTATTATTAGGTAGTGACACCAGAAACTAAAATGTTATGGTTAGTCAACACCACAAACTGCCAATCTAGTCTGGTGCTGGAGATAATTCAATAGATGAAGCTGACAATCAGAATTGACCAATTGAAAACCATTCTAATCCACAATTCATTCACAAGGTGAATGCAAGTTTATAATAAATATTTGACATATCTGTACTTGTGAATCTGACAGTGTTGATCCATATCGAAAGATGGCAATTATTTATTTTATATTATTTATGCTTTTTTTTTTAAGAAAAACATTTAGAAGCTTCCACCAAATGTAAATGAATGCCCCTAGTGAAAAAAAGTAATATATTTAAAATACATTTATTTCATAATATGTGTAGTTCAAATCTGTTAACATATTTACTTACATATCGCTTGAGACTTACTGATATTAAAATTATAATTAAACTTTTTTGGAGTACTACTTGTGCACAATGCACATATTTACAATACAGGTGCATCTCAATAAATTAGAATGTTAAATGTGAGCCAAAATCATCACAATTAAAACAACCAAAGACTTAAACTTCTTCAGTCTGTGTGCATTGAATTTATTTAATACACGAGGTTCACAATTTGAGTTGAATTACTGAAATAAATGAACTTCTCCACGACATTCTAATTTATTGAGATGCACCTGTACATTTATTTCATAGTGTAGTTCAAATCTGTTATATTTACTTATTGCTTGAGACTTGATATTAAAATTATAATTAAACTTTTTTTTTGAGTGCTTCTTGTGCACAATGCACATTTCTTAATATTAAGCCTAAAATGTGTTTTAATGTCACTATTAATAAGGACTGTATGATCTTTGAATAATATTGGTCTTAAAATTCAAGATATTTAAAGTGTACTCAAAGTATACTTGCAATATTTCCACTTTAGCACAATCAAATCTACTTCAGTATATTTAGTTTGACTTCAGCACTACTTTTGCAGAATTAAAGTGAATTAAGTACAAAATTAGTTGTTCCAGTTTAGCAGACTTTAAGTATACCAGTTTAGTATACTAAAAGTACAATTTCAGGGCATTTTTATTTAGTACATAACTATGCAAATGTATTTGTAGTATACTTAGCATGAAATAAAAGTATTTTAAATACATTTTAGTATATTTATTTCTCACTGGGACGTCTTAACATGTTTAACATTTACTATAGCTAAAATAGTTTCTTAGTACATGAACTTGTATTTTCTTATGTAGAATGTTTTTAAAAATCAGTAAACTACAATTTATGCAGCAAATGTGCAGCCTTTAAAATGAGAAGTGTGTTTACTTCATAAGTCATTTACATTAAAAATGATAAAATACATAGCATACATTTTTATAGGCTATAACCAATAATGAAAACTCCTGAACCCACAAATAGGAAAAATACACAAAGATAGAGACTTGAACAAAATATCATCTTTATTCTGCAAGAGAACTGAATATTGTGGAGTTCCATTGATTATATACATGAGTTCACCTCATAACAAACGGAGAGTCTACAACCAATACAAACTATTGTAACAGATACAAGAAAATGTTTTGTGATGGAAATCATAACTGAAGAATACCGATAAGTCAGAAGCAACAATGATACTCAAATACTGAGAGAGAGGATTTCTGACATCTCTTGTTCTCTACATGCAGAGCGAAGTATCTCATGTCCTTTTGTGCCAGAACTTGTCTAATAAGACATGAAACACTTGTTTATAGAAGCATAAATGGACTGGAGCCAGTGCAACACGTTTATTTTCATTGCAGTATGTATGTTTTTTGGACATCGAGAACCTGTGGCTTATTGCTCATGCTGAGTCTATAAAAGTCCAGAGATGAAAACACTGCTGGTGTTAAGGAAATATTTAGATTTATGCAGAATAAAAGTGAGTATTCAGTCAATAAGATGATCCGAGTATGAAGAAAACATTAGTTTGAAGGTCTCAGATGAGATGCATTTATGTTACTGAGTCGGTTGTGCAAACGGTATTGAACACACTGTTGTCTATTGCTTCAGCTCCTCGGTCTCAGTTTTTGTGAACATCATTTTGCTTTTAGTCACTGCAAGAAAGGGCTCCAACTTATTTCAGCTGAAAAAGCAGACTTTTTTCATAAGCCATATTAAAATTTATATTTGACTACACCATAAACAGACAATTAACAGTTTTTGTTCCACATCTTTTTTTTAGTTGTACTTTTTTTTTCTCATTTATTTTTTTTACACAAAACAACAGTCAAGAGTACCAAAGAAGCATGCTGGGTTTTACGTATGTCAAAGTGGGAAGGCGAGTGATAGTTTTTTTTTTTCCTTTTTTGAAAACCTTTTTTTTTTTAATATATATATATATATAAGAAATGTGCTGGAAATCATGGTGGGACAGCTGTGGTAAGAACACAAAAGACTCCCATTGAGAATCACAACATATTCAAACCTGACTGCAAATAAAACTTTGCAGAACTGCACAAGGGGGCAATAGCCAGTGCTAGTTAACAGTCCGGAAATAAACTTAGCCAGGTCTTCTAGTCATAACACCTGCTTTGTACAGAGTCTAACTGAAAACGCAAGCGGCTATGAGTCAAGAAAGGTTGTTTTGGTACATGTCCAAACCCTCTGAGCTTTGGAAGCAATGCACTGTTGATTCTGCCGGCTTCTTATAACGTGTGAGCTTCCCCCATTTCCACTTCAATACAAAAAAAAAAAAAGCACTTTAGTAAATGTCTCTCATACGAATTCCCAATGCAATGCTTTT